ATATATATATATATATATATATATATATATATATATATGTATAATTATTTTAGCTTTATTTTTCATGGGTGCTGAGTTAAAATTTAGGGGTGCTTGAGCACCCCCAAAAAGAGGCTAAAATTGCCACTGTCACAGACATCTGCTGACATAACTGAAGGCTAAAAGTTAATAAAATCCGCTGGATGGATGTTTTCTGGCCCCAGTCTAAAATAACAGTAAATCTTGAGTTAGCATTTGATGATATATTTTTTAAACACCACGACGGACATGGGCACTGGCAACCCCCGTGACCCAAAATGGAATAGGCGGGTAAAAGATAATGGATGGATAAGAAATCTCAAAAACAAGGCAAGACAGAGATGTCACACTGCCTCCTCTTTGCCTCTTGAAGGTCACAGTGTAAGACATGTTCAATGCCACCCCCCGGACCAGCCTGACAGTGCACTAATGTGCATCTCTTCAAATATTTATGACACATGAGACTGCAGCTCCTTCAGCTTCTTGGATTCCATGCAGAGCAGACAGCAAGCCAGGCATCTTCCTGTACAAATAAAACGTGGAGTATTTGTTGGTAACAGCCCAGACGTGCACGCTGCAATATCAGAATTTAATTAGAGAGGCACGAAAGGCTCGTGAGTCATTCGGAGAACAAATCCAAAGCGAGTCAGTGAGGCAGAGAGAGTCAACGTCTGTTTGAGGATGATGAGAATGTGCGAATCTGAGAGGCAGAAGAAAAAAATGGAGCGAGAAATTTTAATGATGTGTTTTAGACTTGAAACATTTTTCTGTTTAACAGTGACACCTCCCTCCTCCACCCTCACCGACTTCTTAGTGATCTCCACCTAATGCAGAATTAATCAATCGTTGATGGAGCGTCCAGCTGCTGAATTCTTCTTGAGTTTCCAGCTTGTGTTCACAGATCAGCTGCAGAAGCTGCTATTCATTTAGCCTTAATTGAGTTTCATAAATATCAAAGCCTGCTGTAAAAGAGAAACTGTGCACTTCTCAATGAAACTGTTGCCGTAGGTTTAGGTTTAAGGAAAACTCCTCATGTTTCTTACTGACTGTCTGGCTCTGCGATAAATCAGCCAATACATATTTATTCTCACCCACTCTGCTTTTTTGTGATTCTAGATGAAGCTGCTCGGCATCTATTTTATTTCCTCCAAAGAATTCCTGGAGAATGCGTACGTTCTGGCCGTGCTGCTCTTCATTGCTCTGCTCCTGCAGAGGACCTTCCTGCAGGCCTCATACTATGTGGCAATTGAAACTGGAATCAACCTGCGAGGGGCCATACAGGTCTGAGAACTTCTGTGAGATGCACATGTTTCTGATCTAAGGCTCTGTCCAATGATTTATATATTTTTTTAACGTTTAAGCCTTAAAAAAACAAGACATTAGTTAAAAAACTACAATTTTGAGTATAAATGTCTGTGTCATGTTGTGTTTTTAACTTGTGTTTGTTTGTGTCATAAAAATAATGTGATGCTCACGTTAATAGGGGTTTAAAGCCAAAACACACTTGTTGTGTCTTTTAAATCCTATCCCCTCACTATTCTTGATGTACCGGTAGTTCTAATTCTGTTCTTACTCAGACATTTATTTGGTGAGAAAATGGCAACAAACTAAACAGTGTCGTAAAAAAGCTTTAAAAACAAAATAAAACATGTCATCATCCAGGCTAGCCATTAGCCTAGCCTAGCTGAAGACTTTTGCCCACTTCTTCATACTCTGAGCTTTACTAAGGCTAAAATATCAACTATTGATAACAATTTGACATAATATCACAATAAAAATCATAATATTATCCCTTTAATTCAGTTTTTTATTTATTTTATAGATAGGATTTTTTTCAACTTTTTATTTCCTTGTCATTATTGCACATTCAGTATTTTTGTGTAAATCTGTAAAAATGTGTTATCACGATGTATTTTATGAGCCAAATCAGAGCATTTATAGGGGAAAAATTATTTTAATTCAAAAGTTATCCATAAAACCCATAAAATAACTATTTGTGCATTTTAAACTTTGCAATTAGTAGTTTTGTTTAAATAATTAAAAACAATTATAAAGGGAAAATGGTTAAGTTAAACCTCCATTTGTTAGTGTGAAGCAAAATAAATGTATCATTTAATGCGGATGTGTGTGTGCTTTGTGTCTCCTCTTCAGACCAAAATCTACAACAAAATCATGCGCCTGTGCACGTCCAACATGTCCATGGGAGAGCTGACGGTCGGTCAGATTTGTAACCTGGTTGCCATAGATACCAACCAGCTAATGTGGTTCTTCTTCCTCTGTCCTAACCTGTGGGCGATGCCGGTGCAAGTAAGGAACACGTTTTGTCTCCTCGGCTTTGTGTGTAAAAGCTTTTACGGGTTTGTCCTCAGGGAGCAGAACACCAGTAGGTGTTTCTGTTGATGTGTCTCAAACCTTCAGTGGGTTTTATTATTTGTCACAGCGTGGCATTGTTTCTTTGGTCCTGAGCTACCAATTCAGCTCTAATGTTTGCAGCAGAGATAAAAATGATTGTCGGTAAAAACAAAGCAGCTCCTACTCCCACTCCTGCTGGGTCTTATGTGTCATATTTCTAGAGGTTTACTTATAAACTAAACAATGTGTGAGCCGATGCTGCAGCATCTCCTTGTTCTACATCTTGTATTGGGCTGCGTTTTCCGTCCCGTAGGATTCGTCCAGCAGGCAGAGCTTTGGATCACGTGGGAAATAAAGCATTGTACTCGGAGAGGTATGAGGATGAAAAAGGTCTCGGTTCACGTTAAACTGATGCACTGCAGCTGTGTGCTGTCAAGTCTGTGATCTACCATTTTAAAATGGTTTTCTGGTGAATTATTACATTATTAAAAGAAGGGAATTGTGTAAAAATTGACGCATAACACTCAGTTATCTGAACAATATTTATCAAAGTGTTACAATTTCTGGAAATATCTTTGAGAAAAAAAAAAGAAGTTCATCACCCAATATTTTTACCTGCAGAATTTTTCATTTGTCTGAAGGATGTATAAACACATACAATGAAATAAGCAATCAAAAGGCAAATCTTTATTAATTAAGGATTTAGAGATTGACACATGTAATTTGATTTGTTTCAAGTGCATACCAGATTTTTTTAGATACAAATTAATTCAGAAATCCAAAGCATATTAGTTGTGCTTTCAGTAAAAAAATAACATGAAAGCAAAAAAAAAAAAACTTTAAATGCAAAATAAACAAAGATTTAGTGCAGATTTCTGTTACAACACGTCTGTCTGTGCTAGGCATTAATTGGACAACTAAATCATGCAAACTGTCCCCAGTTCACTCATCTTTTCTAAATTTAATGGAAAAATAAATCAGCACATTTACATATTAATATGATCCTTTGAACACCTGAGTCGTTAAACTACCATTAATTGTATTTCATAAAACAGCAACAACAGCCTCCAGTATATACGTGTTGTAATAAGTTTTAATAAATGAAGGTGAATCAGGTTAATAAGGGCATATTTTGATCACCTTATAGACATTTACTGTAGTATTTTATAAAAATCCTGTTGACTGTATTCCAACAAAATGCTTGAATATCTGCGTTAATTCGTCTGCAGTGAATATTCTGGGATTTTTGCATATATTTGGAAACATTTAACTGTAGATATTGTGCAAATCCATCAAGTATTGTTGCATTTTTTCATCATCAACTCTGTGTTTAATGCAGCTTTTCATTCATTTATTCAATTTTATCAAACCTAATGCAGACTGTCCAGTTCTTTGACTAAAACTTCACATATTCTAATCCTGAAAAACTTTTTTTTTATTTTTTAACCTGAAATCTTTTTATTTTCACCATTTTTCAACACAAAGGGAAACCCTTAGTGCTACACAATCTGTTGTCGGCAGTTTTTCTGTATGACAAAAACCCCAATGTACTGTATATTGTTTTGGGAGAGTAAGTGGAAAAAGTCACATTTCTTTATTGCAGGAAACACTTTACATAAAAAACCACATCAATCTATGCAGCCAACTCAACCAATATTTGTTTTCATGCAGTAATCCATAGTTTTACAGTATGATGACACAATTTTTAAATTTCCGAGTTAGACAGAATCCACATCCTGCTGTTTGAAAACTTTGAAATGCAGACACACATTCAGAGATGCGTCTTTAATAATGCTCCACAGGACTGTCTGTAAAGAAAGAAAGTCCAACTGTGAATGTCTCCTCAGAAGAATCCCAGTCCACCAATAAACTGCAAATAGACTGAAGTTAGGCCTTCTTACAACAACACGATGAATAAAAAAACCTCAGGAATCAAAAGAAAACCAGAGTGTTTGAGCAACTGGGCGGGCTACATTTCACAGGCGGTGCGAACCTGCTGAGACGTTGATTGTTACCGCAGCATTAATATTCACCGTCGGTGCACACCTGTCTGCTCAGAGCTGCGAATGAGTCCGTTGTGCTCAATTTATTCTCCTTTCTGCTCCGACGTGATGAATCAGTGAGCTCCTAAAACTCAACCACGCTCTTTGATGTATCTGTATTATTTTTTTTAAGTACACGTGTTGCAGTTAGTATCCCATCAGTACAAGGGCTGTAAAGCTTAAGCTGCCAAGTGTAATTTATTTGACTTTTTTAATTAAATTCCTTCTAGAGAATGAACATCGCCTGCTGACTTTCATGCCAGAGTTTTTTTTTTTAAATCAAGACCATCTTCTATTGAGAAAGAACTAAGTTGTAGCTGTTTTAGTCAAACAAAATGCCATACAATGTTACGACATCTCTCGTGATTTGTTAGCATTTGTGTTATGAATGAGTCTCAGCTCCTGCCACATTTTATTTTAGCTCAATACCCATGAAACTGACTGAGTTGTGGCCATTATTGTGTTTGCTAAAATTGCTTTGCTGTAGAGGACACCCTGAATCTTGTTGAGTCCAAAAGTTAACTAGAGAAATTGCATTTCATTCGAAAATGCAGTGTGAATGCTTATTGCAGAAGAACTTGCTGAAAAACAGCTGAAATTAGTTAAAAGCATGCTGAAATGTAACTGAAATGGAAGAACAAGTCTGAATTAGCAGAAGAAAGCAAAAAGAACACATATTTGCTGAATTTGGTTTAAATAAGCAGAAATGAGCACAAAAATTAGGAAATTATCTACAAAAGCTGAAATTAGCAGCAAAAAAAAAAAAAACGCTGAAAAGTAGCTGAAAAGGCACAAAGAAGCTTAAACTACCAGAAAGAAGTGGAAGGAGCTGAAAATAGCTATTAAAAAAAAGAAAAGACAAAAAGTGGGCTTTGCCGAAAAGGCTAATTTAGCACAAAACAGCTAAAAAGTATCTGTAATAGCAGAAAATGCTGAAACTAGCAGAAAAAGCTGAAAGGAGCACAACAAGCTAAAATTAGCAGAAAGAAATTAATTAGGCTGAAAGTAGGAGAAATTACCATGAAAATTTTAATTTATCTGAAATCAGCTGAAATTAGCTAAAAATGCTAAAAGCTAGCTGAAAAGGCAGAAAGAAGCTTAAATTAGCAGAAGAAAGCAGAAAGAACATGTTTGCTCAATAAGGCTTAAATAAGCAGAAATGAGCACAACAAAAGTGGAAATTATCTGAAAAAGCTGAAAAGTATGCAAAAAGTAAGTAAAGTAAAACAGCTGAAAAGTAGTTAAAAAGCAGAAAGAAGCTGAAGTTACAAGAAGGAAGTGTAGAGAGCATATTTTTGCTGAATGAGGTTAAAAAAGTTTAAATGAGTGCAAAAAAATGTGGAATTAGCTAAAAAAAAGATTTAATTAGCATAAAACAGTTATATAGTAGCTGAAATAGTAGAAAAAGATGAAATTTGTGGAAATAAGCTGAAAGGAGCAGAAAGAAGTTAGAAGAAACACAAAAATCTTGTAGTTAGCAGAAAGAATCTGAAAGGAGCACAAAACAGCTGGAAAAACCCCCAGCTGAAATTAACTGAAAGTAGCTGAAAAACGTTTAAATTTGCACAAAGAAGCTGAAAGAAGCTGAACTGGAACAAAATGTGAAAGGAGCAGTAAACAAGGTTGTAAACAGATCTAAAGATTTGATGTAAAATGAGCTCAATTCTTTTTCTTTGAGAAAAAAAATGGCAGAAAAGGCTAAATATTTCAAAAAGCTAAAGTTGCACAGATACCAAAAGTCATAGCAGGATTGTCCTGAATGAGCTGAATGTTTTGATTTATGATTTGTTGAAAAGCATTAAAACTGTGGAACGAGAAAGACGCTGAAAAACGTACAGAAGGAAAATGGATCACAATAGAGTGAATGCTTCATAAACATTCACACTAGTTATAGATCAACTTCCTGTGATTACTTTCTGAAAGTTTCATTAAAACCCATCCAGTGTTTTATGAAATAATTTGCTAACAGAACAAACAAACACTGCCTGGATATAGACAGATAGCACAACGTATAAATAGATTTGAGCATCGTGTATCCATGATGTTTATAATGAGCCTGGTGATGTGAGCAGTCTTATTATACCTGGGCGGGTATTTTGACAACTACAACAAGAGCTCCCTCCTCTCAGCTGCTCCACTCAGCGTAACAATAATTCAAAATGACAAGAATCTTAATTGGAGTCAGTCACCTTTAATCTCATCAGATACACACTCACTCTTCCGGTTCTTAAAACCCAAACATCTGAAGTAACCGATTCCTCTCCTGTTAGTTTCCGCTACCTGAGAAGCCCCATGTCTCTCTCTGTGTCTCTTTTCACACCTTTCGCCTCCGGGGGCCTTTTAAGATTTGAGACATCCTTCAAGATGATTACTGAGATCGATATTGGGGTCACCTGCAGGAGAATAGAGGAGATCTGGAAAAAGAGCGCAAAACTAATGGACAAGAGCCGAGTCTCGTGAAGACTCGAGCTAATTCATCGGGTGTCCTTGTGTGTGCAAACATGTGACCTTTCCTGTCAGTTTTATGTTTCCCCCTCATGATTTAAGACGTGTGATAATATCATGAGGAAAAGATCCACATGTGTAGGAAATAAAGGCCATGAAGAAATTGCGTGAATGACAGAGCTGTAGGTGAAACCTTGAAACCAACTTTCTGCAAGATCTCATGCAAACTCACAAAGTGCCATGTTAAATGTGTTGTAGACAACTCTCAGCTACTACCACATCGAACGAAATCTGTAAAATTTGAATTAAAGCCATGTTTGGTTCTAATTTATTTCAGCTTTAATTTGTAAACATGATCTGAACTGAAATGTTGGAGTAAGTCTTTGCTGAATTACCATTAAATTTCACGTAGACGTTTAGGTCCCCTACAAATTAATCTGATGATGTGTTTGTGCTGCACCTGATACTTTATATGTAGCTCCATGTTGGTCAGTTTGGCTTGAAATCCTGCAGAAAGAACTCATTCTGGTCCTGTGTGAGGTGTGAACCTTTTCAGATAGGTGTGTATAATGTGAGGAGCTGACAGCAGCCATGTGCGGTGGTTTGGTAACAAGCAGGGCTGTCTCCCTCCTGAGCAGATAAAAACCAAAGAGAATCAGACACTTTGACACTAGTGGCACAAATTATCCTGTGAGCGATGATGGGGGGGGGGGATGGAGTGTCACCTCCATCTCTGTCTGCTCGTGTCCTTTCTAATGTCAGAATACAATAAATGTGAAGGCAGTAACGGAGGATGGAGAGGAGCCACGGATGGGTTGAACCATGGGTCATCACTGCTGTGGACATTTAGAAGGACAGAATGTAGACGGAGCGCCAGGGGAGGCTTCGTTTTTTTTATTTTTTTATTTCTAATCCAACACAATTTATCATTTATTTGGCAAAGATGTTAAAGTGAAGGATTGCACAACTTACAAAATCTCTCTGTGTTTCTTCCTTTGCAAACTTCTGTGTGACAGTTTGCTCCTGAATTACTTTTATTTACACTCAAGGTCACTGACTCTTACAAATTCGATTCAATTCAGTTTATTTATACAGTGCCAAGTCACAACAGAAGTCGTCTCACAGCACTGAACAGAAACGTTCATATATAAAAATAACAATTTACCATTATTTATCTGAGGAGCAGACTGTTTTGAGTTTAACTTCATCACAGACTCATCTTGAGCAAGCACAAAGACAACAGTGGGAAGGAAAAACTCCCTCATGAGGAAGAAACCTTTAGCAGAACCAGGCTCAGGACAAGCGGACATCTGCTTCGACCGGCTGGGTTTGAGAGGAACAGATACACAATGGCAGGTCGAGAATCACATGTTAATATAGAAATAGTATCAAATAAAAACTAATGCATTTTAGAAAATAATTTAAGGAAATGTGAACAATTTGTCCTCCAGTAGTCTAAGCCTATAGCAGCCAACCCTAACTATAGGATTTATCAAAAAGGAAAGTCTTAATCCTAGTCTTAAAACTGGACAATGTGTCAGCCTCACAGACAGAAACTGGAAGTTGGATCCACAAGAGAGGAGCCTGATAACTGAAAGATCTTCATCCCATTCTGCTTTTGGAAACTCTAGGAACCACAAGTAAACCTGCAGTCTGAGAGCGAAGTGCTCTGTTAGGAAAATATGGAACAATAAGATCTGTAATATAAGATGGAGCTAGGTTGTTGAGAGCTTTGTAGGTTAGAAGTAAGATTTTGAATTCAATTCTGGATTTGACATGGAGCCAATGAAGAGAAGCTAAAACTGAAGCGATATGATATCTCCCACTAACTCCAGTTAAGATTCTGGCAGCAGCATTTTGAATCAAATGAAGATTTTTTTTAAGAAGTATTTGGACACCCAGATACCAAACCATTACAATAGTCCAGTCTAGACGTGACAAATGCATGAAGCAGTTTTTCTGCATCACTTTTAGATAAGATGTTTCTAATTTTAGTGATATTACGCAGGTGGAAGAAGGCGGTTCTAGTAACATTTTTAATGTGGGGGATAAAAGACACGTCCTGATCAAAAATAACACCAAGATTTTTAACATTAGAGCTGGAGGCCAGATTAATGCCATCAAAGGAAGGTGAAAGCCTGAAAAGTTAATTCCTAAGGTGCTCAGGTCCTAAAAAAAAAACCAAAACCTCAGTCTTGTCTGAGTTTAAAAGCAGAAAATTAAGGGTCATCCAGGTTTTTATGTTTTTAAGACATGCTTGTAGTCAAAGTAGCTGATTGGATTAATTGGGTTTCATGGACAAATATAATTGTATCATCAGCATAACAATGACAATTTATCCCATGTTGTTTAATAACTTTACCTAATGGAAGCATGTACAAGGTAAAGAGTACTGGTCCAATCACTGAACCCTGAGGAACTCCATGACAAACTTTCGTGTATCAAGATGATTCATTATTTAAAAATAATTCATTATTTACTCAAGCACACTCTGTATTCCCGTGGTTGCTGCAGATTTTAAAAGTGCAAGCCACCTGTTTGAGAATTTAATGATCGTTTCATCTTTGTTTTTCAGATAATCCTGGGGGTGATCCTCCTCTACTACCTCCTAGGAATCAGTGCCTTGATTGGAGCAACCATCATTGCTGTGCTAGCTCCCATACAATACTTTGTGGCCACAAAGTTGTCACAAACACAAAAGAGCACTCTGGTGAGGGTTGCTGTTCTGCTGCTGCTGGTTTTCAGTGGTTTATAGTCAGCGACACAGACTGTTGTCTGAAACTGAATATTTATTTATTTATTTATTGTTGAATGGTTTGCCAGAAAATAACTCACCATATATTTGTAATATTGTCACCAAGAGTTAATCTTTTGGAGATTGGTGTTTAATATTTTTCATGTATTTTTTTACATTTTCTCTAGTCCGATCATCTCGTCAAACATTCTGTTTACAAACCCTTCCATTCAGGGATGAAAGCTTTGACGGATTCTTGTAAAAAAAACAAAACAATGCGAACAAACAGCTAAAGCCTCAGTTCTTCAGCTCATGTCATTAGTCTTGCTGCAGCTCTTGTGTTGCGCTCATGCACAGGTGGCATCCTTGAAGTGTACAATTACCAGTTCAATTTTCATCCTTCCAGGAATATTCCAGTGAGCGCCTGAAGAAGACCAATGAGCTGCTGAGGGGCATCAAGCTGCTGAAGCTGTACGCCTGGGAGCACATCTTCCGGGACAGCGTGGAGGAGACCAGGGGCAAAGAGCTCACCAGCCTGCAGGCCTTCGCTCTTTACACATCCATATCCAGTACGACTCTTATCACACATTAACTGGATGTGACAATAACATAAGTTTTACAGTTTTTACTATCATGGATTATAGTGCTTCCATTTATTTCCTCTTCACCCAAGACACCAGAGGACAATAATCTGTCACTCGAAGCGGATTTTATTCCCCCAGTCTGTCCTTCCTAATCTGCTCTCTCAGTCTTACAGCATCAGTCTGCGTGGCTCCAGTTCTGGTATAAATTGTGTTTAATCTTAATCAATAACTAAGAAGAGAGCCCAATGATATCCTGATCGGCAATTTTACAGAATGAATGAGGCACTGGAACTACCAGCTGTTAGCAATCTTGTTTATATACTGATACCTCGAGAGATGTTTGGTTATATTTGACATTTGGCTGCGTGATTTTAAATACGAATGCCAAAACAAAGAAAAGAAAAACCAATTACAGATATAATTTCTCTTTTATTTGAAGACTGGAAGTGAAAATCACTTTTGAGTCATAAATGTAAAATGAATAACATTTAGAGAGTTCTTGTTTTGTATATTTGTGTTAAAAATGATAGTTCTGTCTGTGTATTTGTGTGTGAAGTAGTTCTAAACAGTCAGTATTTTACTTGCAGCAAACAGATGTCGGAACGATCTGTTTGGTGGAAAAGGGAGGAATTCTCATGGAGTCAAGTTAACGATCACTCCACCTTTATTTATGCATTTTATTAAACATGTTTATACCTTGTCAAATTGGTAAATAATAGTTGTTAACATTATACAGTTTTCTCAACTAACAAAGTATTTATTGCTTCAATAACTGAGCCTCTTAAAAAATATCCACCCTCTAACCATCTGAGTCCTCCAGGAGCTGTTCTGTTTCTCTGAACAGCAGTTCTTCCTTTTTATACTCTGGCTCATAAATTTGTAATCCCATCGTCCAGAAAAGTGCGCGTTGTCTTTTGTTTATCACCCGGTTGTTCTGTCTGTAGTAGTTTTTTGTCATTAGATTGGTGGAACTGGGAGTTACTGTAGGAAACCATTAACAGCCTCTGGGCAGGCGTTACACGCAGCAGCACGGACGTTATTCAACTGAGAACACGACAAAATAAAAGTTTGTTGGCAGAAATAATATTTGCTCAAACTGCTCGGAAAGTTCTGTGTTTGATTAGTTTTAATTTGGACGGTGAATTTGTAGGAACCCTCCACAGAACCAGAACCATAATATGATCAAACTGAACGACGCAGTGCAGAACCTCTGTGAAGCTCCTCCCCCTTTTGCTTCCCAGACATTTTTATTACACATACTGAGACAGTAAACTCTGTTTTAGCGTTTGAAAAATGCTCATAAAGAGACTGCCACCATTTCCAATAGACGGTGCACAATATTAAGCAAAGGTAGCCAACGTGTCCCTACTCTGCCCGACCGAGGTGCACCCCCACCCCCCAGCACAGCCACAGAGAGTCTCTGTGCTATCTCTGCCTTGCACAGAAATTGAGCTATCTCCTTCCATGGGTTCTTTAGGATTCAAGGATTCAAGTTTCTTTATTTATTTATCTTTGACTATATCTGCAAGATTGACTTGACTGTCTCTATAAATTCTGCTGGAACAAATGTAAATATGGTTGTATGGTCTAACAGCCTCGACCAGCTGCTCCTCAGCAGAGCAGTTGAAGCAAAATGACACCTTGCACAGATCAAAGCAGCTGTTAGTTTAACTTCCCAATGGAAATGTCTTCCTGTTTCTCCAAACTGAGATTGTTCTGACTGCTATCTACTGCAGGTAAGGTACTGACTGCTCCTAACTACTTTACATCCAACCAACCATCTCGTTAAGTGATTGTTCAATAATAAAATGTTGTTTCAACAGATTATACTTATTTGACCATGAAGAAATGACAATGTTTCCTGCCTCATATTGACTGTTTGTGATGGTTAATCCAGATTAGATGTCACATCCTCTTGCTGTTTGGGTTTTCTTCCAGTTTTCATGAATGCAGCTATTCCGATTGCAGCTGTGCTGACGGTGAGTTCTTTGTATTTTTTACAATACATTAGGTTCCTTAATGTAGGAGCAGTGTGAATAAAAACATTGCAGTACTTTTCTCTGTAAAGACAGAGGCAGAATATTTCACAGTGAGGCAGCAAGGACCATCTGACAACAGAACACTAAATCCTTCCTGGATTAATAGAAGTTATCCAAGGCTGCAAGGTGGAGCTGCTAAAAGTCACCAAAGCCAGACACACACCACAGAGCAGGGACAAGATGTAGACAAATAATCTTTGACTTGAGTTAGTCCTCTTTAGTCAATCTGTTTCCTTCTGATGGTTTTACCTTGAGCTAGTCTCAAGTTCAAAGAGGTATTGTGGGTTTTTTCAGGTTTACCTAAGACACTGTATCCTTTCTGTGATCCTGCAGACATTTGTGGTCCACGTCCACTTCTCAGAGGATGCTGATCTGTCGCCAGCTGTGGCTTTTGCCTCCCTGTCCCTCTTCCACATCCTGGTCACCCCCCTCTTCCTCCTCTCCAGTGTTGTGCGATCCACTGTCAAGGCGCTTGTAAGGTGAGTAACTGGACCGTCTCGTTGGTTTTGGTTCGGCCGTTTATTGGTTATTAAATGTCTGGGAACGGTCTCACAGAGGCAGAGTTAAAAAGAAACTACAGGAAGAACCACCTGAGAATGAGCCGGGTGGTGAAAAGCAACACGATTAGACAAAGCGAGTGACCTTTTCCCTGCAGCAGATGGATCTGTAGCTTTATTCGATCCTGTAACTAACGCTGTCGTTTGTCTGTTGTGTAAACTCGGCTCTGACTCTAACATTTATTCCTTTCAGCCGTGATCTTTACAATAACGTTGGCACTCGTAACATTATTTGGCTGCCCCGTCCTGCCAATTTTCTAATCTCGTCATCTCTCTAACCTTTTATGTAGCTTTGATTATTGCATTGAGCAATGCATCTATGGGGTGCCGTTTGTAAAGTTACACAGTCAAAAATGAACATCAATAATTTGGTTTATTTAAACTTTTGTAAGAAAAAATTGGATTTTTTTTTTCAAAGTCATATTTTCACCATGATATTCATACATTTATAAATGTCATAGTTCCAAACTAAATATTTATTTTACAAGTTAAATATTTAGTTTACAAAGGAAATATTTAATTTTCAATTTAAATATTTAGTTAGCAACCTAAATGTTTAATTTACAAACTAAATATTTAATTTGCAAGTTAAATATTTAGTTAGTGAACTAAATATTTTCATGTACATTAAATATTTAATTTAAATGCTAAATATTTATTTTCCAAAATAAACATTTAATTTCTAAGCTAAACATTGAATTCCTAATGTAAATATTTAATTTGCTTACTAAATATTTAGCTCCGACCTAACTATTTATTTTCCAAGCTAAAATTTTAATTTCCAAAATAAATATTTAATTTGCTAACTTAGCAAGTTAAATATTTAAGTCAGAGGTAACTATTTAGTTAGCAAATTAAATATTTATTTTGGAAATTAAATGTTTAGCTTAGAAAATATATATTTAGGTCCAAGCTAAATATTTAATTTGCTAATTAAATATCTAGTTTAGGAATTAAATTTTTAGCTTAGAAATTAAATGTTTAGTTTTGAAAATAAATGTTTAGCTTGGAAATTAAAAAAATAATTTACACCTAAATATTTAGTTCACAAACTAAACATTTAACTTGCAAGTTAAATATTTAGTTTGCAAATTAAACATTTAGCTTGGACATGATCATTTAGTTTCTAAACTAAATATTTAGCTTGCTAACTAAATATTTAACTTGCAAGTTAAGTATTTTAGTTTGTAAACTAGATATTTAGCCTAGTACATTAAATATTTGGTTCGGAACTATGACAAAAACAACAAAAACAAACAAAAACTTTTGTGTGAAAGTCTAAATAAACCAAAATATTGCTGTTAATTTTTGACTGTGTAACTTTACACACGGCACCCCATATGCAGCTGGCACGTCTTTACCTTTAAAGTACAGATATTAAAACTATTTTTAAGCCTTTGTGTTTTTATTGTGAAGGGAGAACGTATCTGCAGGAAATATATCATGAAGCACCTATAGCTGATCAAGAGAAGTGATTAGTTATACCTTAAAGATACGCACGCTTTAGCAACGTCAAGTAGATTAACAAGTAAGACAATCCTCAAAGGATGACACAAAAAGTGACTGAAGAAGAACAGGGCTCAGGTAACAAGGCCATGTCACTTTAAATCCAATCTTCTCCTCCTGCACCTCCAGGAGATGATCACAGGTGAGAGAGTTCTGTAATCAGTGAATGAATTTGCAGCAGGATTGCTTTAAATTGTCCTCGACTTCACATTACACCTTTTCTTTAGTTTTCAGCGTCAGTTTGTCGCCACGATGCGCCATTCTCACTAGAAGTCCTTATTTTAATGAGGCTGGATGTGAAAGCTGCCTTTGATCCTTGGAGATACCAATTTTAGAATTGAATGACGTGACATACTTCACTGTATTAGAAAACAGCTGAGTGAGGGTTCAACATCATGGATTATCTGCACACAACATGATAAAATACTTATTTTGATGATAGCAAATGGTAAGATTTTTAAGCTACAATCCCACATCCAACAACGTTGAAACTTTGTATAAACTGTAAAAAACAACAGGCGGCAAAAAGATTTGCAAATCTCACAAATCCATATCTCACTCACAGTGGATCATAGTAAACATCTGAAATGTTTAAATTAAGATATTGGACTGTTTTTTGAAGAAATAGGGTAATTTAAAATGTAACGACAGCAACCCATGACATAAAGGGTCATGCTTCCAGCTGTGACACCTCCTCTCTTCTTTTAACAACAGTAGACATCTGTAGACATCTGTAGACATCTGTAGACATCTGTAGACATCTAGGAACTGAGGAGAGCAGCTGCCGGAGGTGTTGGAACTTGTCCCATCCTTAAGCTGTTCAGCAGTCCTGAATCTTCTCTGCTAAACTGTTTGTTTCACTTTGCATCAAGGGTTTTGACTTTATGAGAGGTCTGAACTGCAGGCAGACCAGTTCAGCATCTGGGCTTTTCTACTATGAAGCATGGATTGTCTTGCTGGAGTATACAAGGCCCTACCTGAAACAGACGTCATCCTGATGGGAGCATATGTTGTTCTAAAACCTGTAACTGCATTGATAGTGCCTCTTCAGATGTGTTAGCTGCCCATGCTAAATGTCCTAATGCACCCCTATACCATCAGAGAGGCAGGCTTTTAAACTGTGGGTTGAAAAACTGAATAATCCCTCTTCACTTCAGTGCTGAGATGTCCCAAAAATAATTTTAATTTCAATTTGTCTGACCCCCAAACAGTTTCCCACTTTGCCTCAGCCCATTTTACACGAGAGTTTCTGAACGGTGTCCACGTGTGGCTTCCCTTTTACATGATAGAGCTTTAACCAGCATTTGTGGATGACACTGTGTTTGCAGACTTTATGCCTGGTCCTTTGTGCATATAGATCCACATTCTTGACATTTATTCGACAATAATACAAACTATGGATGATTCAAAGTTCAAGTTTCCTTTGAGTGACATTATTCTGAAATTATTCTATTAAAGTTGGAAGCAGTTTTTCACAGATTGGTGAAACTTTGCCCATCTTTACTTCTAAGAGATTCATATGTCTACATTTTTTGTTATATCCAGTCCTCTTAATGACCTGCCAATTAATTCATAAAATTAAAATGCTCTTCTTTTCATGCCACATACTTTTACAGCCTTATGTTGCCCCTTTCCCAACTTTACTGGGATGTGTTGATGCCTTCAAATTTTAAAATGACCACATTTTTCCCTTTAAAAGGCACTATTTCTTAACATTTGACAAGTTTAATATGTTCCATTTTGAAGAAAAGATCATAAGATGTAAAAATAGATTAATTCTGTTTTTATTTATATTTACACAACGTTCCAGTTTTGTTGAATTGGGATTATTTTATCATTAAATATTTCAGCAGATGATAAAGATGTTCTGGTACTTAAGACACATCTCACCCCGGTGTGCTTTTTACGGTTTTGTTTCCTAAAAACAGCCTCTTGCTACTTGTTTTATCACATTTCCAGATTGTGTAATTAATAAAACCAGTGTCTGAAACTAAAAGTGCATGCTTCAGTCGAAAGAACCACAAATTCTAGTTCAGGCCAGGAAAATAAAATCCAAGTTATTTATTGCACAGATGTAGAGATAAGCGAGTGTGTGGCAGGAAGGGAAATAGATGAAGCTGATTGTGGGTGAACTATTGATTTTCCAGGATCGAGCATGTTGTGATCTTCATCCTACGTGAACAGATCTTGTTTAAAGCCCTTTTTTTCTTGTGCTTTTCACTGAAACTTCTTCATCTAATCAGGATTTATTACACAGGTTGGCTTTTATTCTCACCCGCTCAGACAGCTGACTCTGTTTATTCGGCAGTGTTCAGAAGCTCAGTGAGTTTTTCTCAAGTGATGAGATCGGAGATGAGCAGGAGCCCAGAGCGATGCTACCCTCCAGCTGCGGCAATCACAACCAAAACAGATACCAGGCTGTGGTGAGCTCTCACACACCTGTTTGACAGCAAAGAACAAAACACCTAACTCTGTTTTATTTAGCTTTGATTGCTGTCTTCTTCCTCCACCTGACTCCTGTTATGACCGTTAACCCTCCGTTGTGCTGGATGTCATACAACCCTCGTCTAGTCATCCTCTAAGCCTTTCCCTTCGTCGTCCTCCTCCTTTTTCTCCCGGTACCTCCAGCCCCTGAAGGTGGTGAACCGGAAGCGCCCACCGAGGGACGAGTGGAACAACTACAGCTCACAGAGGGACCAGGAGAGCGACGGACCCTCTCAGGAGGTGGAGCAAGACATTTGTATCAAGGTAATGGGGTTAACTGGTGTCATCCGTCAGAATGGTCTGCTGTAAGCTGATCTGATCTGGGACGAGATGAAACCTTTATCAAAACTGTCAGCGATGATGTGATTGTACCAGAAGCTTCAAGATTCTCCTTGTTTTTACTCATCCTAAAGGTCAGCTGGTAGAAATATCAAACCCAGCACAGTTTTCCTCCAGGTCTCGGATCACAATCAAAACCCACTAATGACCTTTAAAGATTTCCTTTCATGCAAAAACAAAAGTCCTGAAAATATTGGCTGTGTTGAGCTATATTATTAGGTTGTGTAGCAGATGGGAAGCTACATAGATTGATGAAGGTTTCATGCTGTTACTCTGGTTGCAAGATGATTCTCAAGAAAAATGTGACTCTGATGTGGTTCATTAAGTCTTTAGTACCAAGGCTGCTTTTCATCAGCAGCTCGTTCAATCAAAGCTAATTGGCCTGAAGTGCCATCAGTAAAATACAACCTTTGCAAAAAAAGTGATTAATATTGAAATGCTGAATCGATTTTATACTCTACAAATCACAAAATTATAATAAATAGCTCAGGAGATGCACCAAACTAATGTTTTAAACATGAAATGCTCTTTGAGAGTTTTTAAAAAAAATGCAACAGAAAGAAACGAGGCAACATTTAGTTCTAACTTCTGTAAAGATTACCATATTTTCCGCCGTATAAGTTGCATCAGTCCAAAAATGTCTCATAAAGTGGAAAAAACATAAATAAGTCGTATTTATTATGCGTCACCGCTGACCCCCGGGACATGTGGGCCGGTGTTGTGCCAAAAATCCATTGGCTGCCAAATGGCGGCCGTGGGGAGTGTGCACGGGAGGACTCACCATTGAAGTTCTTCGAAATTTAACAAGATTAACACTTAAAAACTATTATTTGTTTGCTCGACAATGTAGCAAAGGTGTGTCTCAGTTTAACTTTTCCTTAATAAACGCACTTTAATGGTCAACAGCTTCATTTTGCCTGGGTGGCGTGGTGAAATGAAGCTGACCCGAACCTATCCCCGCTGGAGCAGAGATGAAGGCTTGCGGCTCTACATCATCCCCTCGCCCGCACCTCGCTGCCCCCTTCCTCTGCTGCCGGAGCAGGGAGGGAGGGGGCAGCAAGGCACCTCAGCTGCGATGGATGGATGGATGGATGGGTGGCGCACCACCTCAGAGCCTTACTCCCCGCTCCAGCGGCAGAGGAAGGCTGTAGAGCTTGCAGCTGGAGTTGCGATGGATGGATGGGTGTTGCACTGCCGAAGAATATCTCTGTGTGTGTGTGTGTGTGTGTGTTTGGGGGGGGGGGGGGGGTGTAGTGGTAGTTGTCAAAAGTCTAGAGCGCCCTCTTGTGCCTCTAGCAGCTACAGATGGTAACGTTTAATCTGGCTCATTCAAAAATTGCGTTATGAATATGGAAAAAAAAATGTGTATAAGTTGCTTCGGTGTATAAGTTGCAGGACTGGCAAATTTATGCAAAAAAAACTGCAACTTATACGCTGGAAAATACGGTAGCTGCTTTTTTGTGAAACCGATATTAATCTTTGACTTGTCTGCTGAATGAAACTGTGCAACATTTTCAGATAATAAATGGTTATTTCACCTGGACAGACGGACCGCCAACACTTTCCAACGTGGATATCAAGATTCCCTTTGGTAAGCATCGCCTCCTCTCTGTTTCATTTGCCAGTTAATTATTTATTAAATCTGTGATGTTGTTTCCCGCTCATCGAACGTCCCAGGAAAGCTGACGATGATTGTGGGCCAGGTGGGCTGTGGGAAGTCGTCCCTGCTTCTGGCTGCGCTCGGAGAGATGCAGAGAGTGTCTGGAACAGTCATCTGGAATAGGTTGGTTTATTTTTTATTAATTACTTTAATGAAAATTGTCAGCTCAGACGTCAGATTTTAAATCATGGTTTGAATTTGACCTTGATGGTTTATGTTGCAGTGTGAGCAGAGTTTTTTCTTGTTTTACTGCTTGTGCTCATTTAAACATTGTTGGTAATCAGTTTGTCTGACATGGCTGGCTTGTTTTTTTATGGACATTTTTCTGCAGCAATCAATTTTAAATCTCTCGCAGAGTAATTTGCAACAAAACCAGCCTTGCAGGAACCCTCGTGCCGTGACGCACCAGTATAAATAAATTGAAGTTCAGGGTAATGGAACAGAGATGACACTGCAGCTGTCAGTTTTTATGGTTTGGAGATACAAGGAAGAGCAATGTGGGGATGTTTTTTATGCATCACTAACCCAAATTCAGTCAGCTGCTTCCAGGAAAATGAAAAACAAACTCCTAGATGGTTTGCACACCTGACAAAACACCTGTCAATCATCACACTGGATTAAAACTAAATGTAATTTTATAAATAAATGTTATATATATATATATATATATATATATATATATATATAATGAATAGATTTTTGTTGCAGAATGGTGGTAAGATTTTTCTGTAAACAATTTGCTTGTCGTTGAGGTGAAGGCAGCTGTGAGATCATCTGTTAGAGGAAAAGCTTCATGCTGATCCGCCCGACAGGTGAAGGGGAATCACACGACAGTAAACGACATTGCATTGTCACAATGAAGACTTTTAAAAATAAAGCATGCATCTACAACTGTGTGCAGTTACTGAGGAGTTTGTGTTGCCTGGTTGTGTTTTATTTTTGTCATGTGAGCAGAGATGAAATTTTTAGTAAAATATTGCAGGAAAATCTCCATATGAGTGAGTTAGGCCTTGGCCGTCAGACATTAGACTGGGTTGTTGCACCAAACTTCTGCTTTTTGCTCCTTTGTTGGATTTATTGAAAAAATACCTCATTCTAGCTTAAATCATTAAGTTTTACAAAAACAGAACTGAGTAGATATACAGAGAGTACTTGTTAAAATAGCCCATCCAGATACACTCCAAAAGCATCCGGTGAGTCATTCCTGCGTTTGAATGTTTTGTCCGCCGCCCAGGATAGAGCTGCTGTCAGTGCCCATTTGTCAAAGGCGTTTAGGCTCTCCTGGTTGATCTGAACTGTTTTTGGATGCTGCATCGATACCAAGGTCACACTGACACCCGCTCTGAGTTTGGGTTGGATTAAATACCCGTCTGGGTGCCAGAATGTTGCACCTATTGTGTGTCCTTGAGCGACTGAGCAGCTGTTGTCTGGACTTTGCCTACAGCGGTGCTCGAAAGTTTATGAAGCCTTTATAATTTTCTATATTTCTGTATAAATTTGACCTAAAACATCATCAGATTTTCACACAAGCCCTAAAAGTAGATGAAGAGAACCCAGTTAAACAAATGAGACAAATATATTATACCTGGTCATTTATTTGTTGATGAAAATGATCCAGTATTACATATTTGTGAGTGGTAAAAGTATGTGAACATCTAGGATTAGCAGTTAATTTGAAGGTGAAATTAGAGTCAGGTGTTTTCAATCAATGGGATGATGATCAGTTGTGAGTGGGCACCCTGTTTGAGTTAAAGAACATGGTGGAGGTAGTATCATGGTTTGGGCCTGTTTTGCTGCATCTCGGCCAGGCCAGCTTGCCATCATTGATGGAACAATGAATTCTGAATTATATCAGAGCATTATTGAGGAAAATGTCAGGACATCTGTCCATGAACTGAATCTAAAGAGAAGGTGGGTCATGCAGCGAGACAATGACACTAAGCACACTAGTGGTTCTACCAAAGAATGCTTCAAGAAGAATAAAGTTCATGTTTTGGAATGATCAAGTCAAAGTCCTGACTTTAATCCAGTCCAGATGTTGTAGAAGGACCTGAAGCAGCAGTTAAGGTGAGGAAACCACCAACATCTCAGAGCTGAAGCTGTTCTGTATGAAGGAATGGGCTAAAATTCCTCCAAGATCATGTGCAGGACTGATCAACAGTTACTGGAAATGTTTAGTTGCAGTTATTGCTGCACAGGGAGGTCACACCAGATACTGAAAGCAAAGGTTCACATGTTTTTGCCACTCATAAATATGTAATATTGGATAATTTCCCTCAATAAATAAATGACCAAGCATAATATTTTTGTCTCATTTGTTTAACTGGATTCTCTTTATCTACTTTTAGGACTTGTGTGAAATCTGATGATGTTTGAAGTCATATTTATGCAGAAATATAGAAAATTCAAAAAGGATTACAAGCATTCAAGCACCGCTGTACCTGATGTGTTTAGGAAAACATGAGGCAGGGTTGATCCTCGTGTTTTCGTGTTGTTTATTGTTGTTTTGTCGTGTTTCATTACATTGGATGAATCTTACACTGATTCTGGCCAGCGTGGGCCTTGTTCAGCACAGATCAGAAGGCAGCAAAACAAACTGATGACTCTAGAAACTCTAATGAAACAAAATGCAGCGGAGGATAAACGAGACAGGGTTTTGCCTGGCAGGAGTAGGAAGTATTAATCAGAGGAACCTGAAGCTTGTCAGGTTCATATTAGGGACATTATTGGGTCATTTAACAAGAAATTTGTGATGCTGAGTCAGCTTTTATCAGCTGCCGGTGTGCCTTGTCTCACTGTGTTTAACAAATGTGTTTTATTCTCACTTTAAAGGGACAGCTCAGACTTTCAATGTGAGGTTCAGTGCAAAGTTCGTGAACAAATGGAAAATGTCTGAAGAGTTTTAAAAGGTGCCCACAATTCCAACACACATCATCTTTCTTCTATATATAGGCCCAGCCTAGACCATTACCCTGAGTCTGAGGCTGTATTTAGTCATATAAATATTTACTACAATTAAAAAGAACCCATTGTAGAGAAATCAAGCAAGAGAAATGTGATTTGTCTGGACAGAACCTGTTAGTACTCTAGCCGGAGTGTTTTGGATCAAGTATAAGGTCTTTTAGAACCCAGTAACGTAGTATTCTGGTGATCGAGTCTACATGTAGACCAGTTTTACTGTGAGGAACTAAAGCTCCATGTTTTGGGGAACTTAAAAAACACTTTCATAAATCAACAAAGTCCATGCTCAATAATCCAGGTATACAATCCAACATTTTTCAGTCAGGTCATTTGGATATTTTCTTTGTTTTGTGCTGAAACATTTCACCTTTGATCCAGAAGGCTTCATCAGTCAAGTAAACACAACAAAACTGATTCTTCCCCCAACAGCTTACTCCAAAGTGGAACAAACCAGTTATGTTGGTGATAAGATGGTCTCTTTGTCATGCCCCCTCCTCCATTGCCGGCCCTCTTCCTTGTTAACAGTCGTGTCAAACTGTCAGTTTGTGTCGTGTCAGTTTGACACGACTGTCAACAAGGAAGAGGGCCGGCAATGAAGGAGGGGGCGTGACAAAGAGACCATCTTAGCACCAACATAACTGGTTTGTTCCACTTTGGAGTAAGCTGTTGGGTGAATAATCAGTTTTGTGTTGTGTGTTTTCTTGACTGATGAAGCCTTCCGGATCGAAGGCGAAATGTTTCAGCACAAAAAAAAAAAAAAAAAAGACACTGCCTGTCCAGATGACCTGAATGAAAAATGTTGGATTTTCATAAAGCCTGCTTAAAAAAAAAAAAGCTTTTTTTTTAAGCATGAAAACCCCATCCACAGTAACGAGGGTGTTGCTCCAGTCTGTTGTAAAGAGAAGGAGCTGAGCTGAATTGCAAAGCTCTCAATTTACTGCTCTGTTTACTTTCCAACCTTCAGCTCTGGCCACATGATGGCTCATGATCCAAAAGTCAAAATCCTGAATGTGAGCAGCTGAAACGAGCTTCCTCTACAGGGTGGGCAGGCTCAACCTCAGCCATCGAGTGACATGAGGGCTCGGGTATCTGATTAGGTTGTCTCCTGTGTGCTTCCGCCTGGAGGTTTACATCCAGGCTTGTCCATTCAGGAAGAGACACTGAGGAAGACCCAGAACTCACTGGAGGGATTATCTATCCTCTCTGCACTGCCAAGGTCTTGGGACAGGTTTCCAGTTCTGCTGAGGAGGGTGATGTCTGTGTTTCCTTCCTGGGAATGTTGCTTTCAAGGAACAATGTGTGGAAAAACTTTTAAACTTTTAAACCCTATTTATTGAAGGACTGCACAACTTCTGCACCCACTAAATCCAAACAAACCACAGACTAAGCATCTGCCTAGTTCACATTTAGTCACATTTAAATAAGATTTTATCAATGCATTAAGAGCAATACCAGTCCATTTGTGGAAATTGGTGCCAGAGAGAAAGAAAGTTGTCTAATTTTGGTTGCCACATACAATTAGTGTGAAATTTACCATTCTCAGAGCTGTAATTGCAGGCAGGAAGAAGAGAAAGAGGAACAGGAGAAAAGGAGGGAAAAGAAGAACAAGAGGAGGAGAGAACAAAAACTCTGAGCCTCCTTCAAAGCCACAACCCAGTGACCCAGTGACCTCCGTACTGACTAAAGGAATTAACTTCTCCAACCTGGTGGTTTACAAAGGGAGGGAGGAGGTTAACACTGGAGTAACAATAAGCCTCAATATGTTTTATTCAACATAAATGTATAAAGTAAAACTTTCGTGGTATGTGAAAAAAGACCATCAGTATGAGAATTTAATTATTTACAAAGCCTGTGTCTCTCCAGAATGGTTAAAATGTTGTTTTTTTTACTTAACAAACAAAATAAAGTGAAAACAAACAGATATTAAAGGCCTAATAAAAAGTCAAGCTCTAATGATTCTTATGATTCTCCTCTCATTTGAAAACAGCACTTCAAAATATTAGTTTATTTTAAAAAAGAGCTTAAACATTTATTTTATTAGGGGCGGCTGCATCTCGGTGGTCAGTGCAGCAGTCGTGTAATCCTGAGGTTGTGGGTTTGAGCCCAGGTTGTGTCAGAAAGCGTGTTATAATAATAAATAAAATAATAACTTTTAGAAACTG